CTGACCTCAGGTGATCCGCCCATCTCGGCCTCCCAAAGAGCTGGGATTACAGGTGCGAGCCACTGCGCCCGGCCTGTCTCTGCTTTAACTGCCATTTCCCTACCCTTCCCCATGTGTCCCACACAGCCCCTCCCTCTACTGCCTGGGCCCTTGCTCCCAGCCCTCTCTGCTGTGCCCTCTCTGTTCAGTGGTCTGCCAGTGCCTCTGCATCTGAGCCTCTTCTCTGACCATCCCCTCCACCGTCTGGCTTCAACTGAAACCCGCCGTCCCCTGGAGGACACCCTGCAACCCCCTCAGGTGGGGGCTGTTTTTTTCTCTCTGGCTCTTGAAGAAAGTATATAAATTTCCCAGGTGAAGTAGGAAAAGACTATTCCAAGCAAAGGAACGGAAAGGAATAAAACCATGAAGAAGAAAGCTGAGGACCTGTGTGAGGACCAGGAGAATTCCAGAGGCTGGGACTGAGGTCTGTGGGGGGAGGCGTCACGGAAGAGGCTGAAGAATTAAGTAGGGCTGAATGGGAAGGCTTTTGAAGGCTAAGGAGCTTGCATTTTTATTTTAAGCGATTGGCTAGCTGGAAGCAAGGAGTTGAAAGCAGCAGATCTGTGTTTTGGCAAAATCACTTTGGCTAGAGCATGGAGAATGGATGGGAGTGGGACCAATTAAGGCAGGGTTGGCCGACTATGTCTGGGAGGCCTGTGTGTTTGTAGCCAGTCATTAGCTAAGAATGGATTTTGCTTTTTTTTTTTTTTTTTTTTTTTTTTTGAGACGGAGTCTCGCGTCTGTCGCCCAAGCTGGATGCAGTGTGGTCGCGATCCTGGCTCACTGCAAGCTCCGCCTCCTGGGTTCACGCCATTCTCCTGCCTCAGCCTCCCGAGTAGCTGGAACTACATGCGCCCGCCACCGCGCCCGGCTCGTTTTTTGTATTTTTAGTAGAGACGGGGTTTCACCTTGGTCTCCATCTCCTGACCTTGTGATCCGCCCGCCTCGGCCTCCCAAAGTGCTGGGATTACAGGCGTGAGCCACCGCGCCCGGCCTTGCTTTTTTTTTAAAACGGAGTTTCCCTCTGTTGCCCAGGGTGGAGTGCAGTGGCGTGATTTCAGCTCACTGCCACCTCCACCTCCCTGGTTCAAGCAATTCCCCTGCCTCAGCCTCCCAAATAGCTGGGATAACAGGTGCACACCACCACACCTGGTGAATTTTTTAATTTTTATTTTGAGTAGAGATTGGGTTTTACCATGTTGGCCAGACTGGTCTCGAACTCCTCACTTTAGGCAATTTGCCCACCTTGGCCTCCCAAAGTGCTGGGATTATAGGCGTGAACCACCACGCCTGGCCTGAATTTTGCTTTTTAAAAGGCTGAAAAGTAAACAAAAATAGTATTTGTGACACAAGAAAAATTATATGAAATTCAAATCTCAGTGATATTCAAAGAAAATATTTTTGGAACACAGCCATGCTCATTTAAGTATGTATTGTCTATGGCTGCTTTTGACTGCATCAGCAGAGTGGAATAGTAGTGACAGAGACTGTGTAATATTGGAGTACCTACATAATATTCTTGATTCTGTCTCTTGGTCTGCAGAGTCTAAAACTAAAATATTTGCTATCTGGCCCTTTACAGAAAAAATTTGCTAATCCCTGAATTAAGGGATTGTTTTGGCACTTCAGGCAAGAAGCCTGGACTAGTTTAGAGGCAGTCGGGATGCAGAAAATTGGATGAATTTGGGAACTATTCAGGAGATAGGCTGAGCACAGGGAGTAAAAGAGAGGAGTCTGGGATGACTCCCAGCTTTCCGGTTTGAGCAACTGTGTGAATGGTGGTGCTAGCCAGGCCAAGAATATCAAGAGAGAAAGTGAAACTCAAGGGCAGGGGAAGGACAGGGGCTCACAGTGAAGAGGGAGAACCGTTTTCAGGCCCATTTTGTGTGACAGTCTGATTTGTGGGGTTATCCAGTTTGTGTGTGTTACCAAAGATGCTAACAACAACGATATCAGAAGCAATAACCTCAAGCCCCCTCAAGCCCGTTAGAGCGTGAGGCTGGTGTAGGGCACCTGGGCATTCAGAAGACTTTTGTGCTCTAAAGGTGAGCGGGTACTTGTCTAAATTTCCAGTTGGGTCAGCATGAGTGCTGTGAAATCCCAGCCAGTGTCCTAAGAATAAAACCAAGGATTCCAGAGGCCTGGGGCCATGGGGGATTAGGAGAAGATGGAGCTGTTCCTAGACGCCAAGCCCCCTACCTTCTATCTCCTTGTTGGTGAATTTGGTATACTGGCCAGAGAGGTAGGGCCTGTCTCTGCAAGTTTATAGTGGTATCCAAGGAAGCTGATTCTTCTGGGGTCTGATGTACCTGCTGAGACTTGGGGGCAGGGACTGGGGTGGCCAAAACCACCTACTCCATCTTGTCCTGTGGTCTTGTTATCTGAGGAGCAGGCCCAGGCGGGTTCCAAGAGCCGTGTTTTGGCAGAGCTATTCCTGTGATTGTCAGCAGATGGCGCTAAAGCAATACGGTGGGAGTGGAAGGAAGGTGGCGCAGAAGGAGAGCGGATCCTAACTTCTCAGGGCTGGAGAAGGGGTCGGTAGCAGTGGGGGGAAGACAGTATTCACAAAACCTTTTCATTCTTTCCCTATTTCCAGCTCAGGCGCGTAGTCGCCCTTGTTTCTGGGGCCAAGAAGGACTCTCAGAACGGGGTAGTGGTGGAGTGTTTGGGGTGGACTGTTGCCATGTCCAGCCACCCTCTCTTTGGGCTTATCCCTTTTCCCCAATTCTGTGGCAGCTGGGCCTGCGGGAATCTTGCTTCAGAGGACTGAGGGCACAGACCCCATCTCCGGGAAGCCTTCCTGGAATGCACACACCCTCTCCCGCTGAAACTTGTTCCCCCAAACTCCTTTAACCAAGCCATGACGGGGCTTAAGTTTCTTCTCCTTGGACTGGGGGCATGGGCTTTTCAAAGCTCAGGCTGGAGGTGTAGGGTCAGAGCTGGGTCTGAAACTAGTCCTGGTTTCTGGCATTTACCGGCTAGCAGCCCTGTCCCGTGGTAACACTGATCATAGAGCCATTGAGGGCATTTCCCTCCAGTCTTTCTCATCCTCCGAACTCTTCTGCAAAGGGCTTGTTTCCATTTCAGAGATGAAGACATTGAGAAGAGACATGTCTCAGGTTGTTCAGTGAGGGACATGGCAGGTCAGACCTGCATCTGGGACAAGGGACAAGTGTGAACTGCTAGCCCCATTCCTGATGTGAATACCAGATTTGACCCCCTCCTCTTCCGGTCTTCAGTAGAGACCAGGTTAATCTGACCCCAAAGTTCCTGTTCTCCCAGCACTGCTCAGCTTGCTCAGTCCTTCTGCCTCCCAGGACCTCAGTTTCAACACCTTTAACACAGGGCAGGACATTCAGCCTTAAAGGGGCCTTAGGGCTGTGAGGGAGCAGTGGTAAGGGAGGGGCCCTCTTATGATCTTGAACTCACAACCCAGTAAGCTGTGCTAGTGGGAAGGGGATATGGGGTTTGGATCCTAGGGTCATTCTCACAGTGCTGTAGTTCTTGGCTAGCCTATCCTGTTTAGATCTTCACTGGATACCATTTCCCATCGTGTTGGAAGCTTTCTTCCAAAGGCTCCTGGGAGTCCCAACAGCTACAAGCGGGCTGAATCCCCACTCCTCCCTCTGCAAGGGCTTAGCTCCACCCAGGCCTCATCCCTCTAGGCCAACGATTCTCAAACTTTACCCTGCATCGCAACACCTAGAGGGCTTGTTAAAAACAGGTGGTGGGTTCCACAGAGTTTCTGATTTAGTGAATCTAGGGGGACCCTGAGAATTCTCATAGCTAACAAGTTCCCAGGTGATACTGAGGCTACTGATCAGAACCACTGTGAAATGAAAGATTGACTCAGCAGGTCTGGATGATCCGAACCCTGCACATTTGTACATTTCAAAGAAAGGTTTGGCCTTGCCTGGCTCCTGGAAGATAACACTAAACCCTTGGAATATCCTGCCTGGTAAGTGTTTTTGCTTACCTTTGCTCCTTGGGCCACATGGTATCAGTTTAACTTCTGGAAGGGCTGGAGACTAAGTAAGGTCAGCCATGTGGGTGGTCAACCATGCTTACATGACCAGCCTCCAGTAAGAACACTGGACACCAAAGCTCTGCTGAGCTTTCTTGCTTGGCAGTACTTCATTTTGTTGTCATACATCATTGCTTGGAAGACTGGGCACAGTCTGCACGACTCCACTGGGAGAGGACAGCTGGAAGTTTGTATCTGGTCTCTCCTCGTCTCTGCTCTGTGCACCTTTTGCTGTTGCTGTTTTATGCTCTGTGTTCTTTCACTGTAATAAACTGTGAGGATAATAGCTTTGCTGAGTTCTATGCATTGTTCTAGCAAATCACTGAACCCAGTGACGGTCTTGGAAACCACTACTCCAGACTATGGGATTAACGTCTCTAGAATTCCTTTGCGTTGGGCTTTGGGGACCCTTCACCAAAGAAGTGCCTTATAACCTGACCTGAGGGTCATCCTCATGGAGTGTTTTGGCCCAAATACTTTAGGCCTCTCATCTACTCACGGAAGAGTCCAGAGGTCAGGAGGCTATGAATTGCCTGGAAGTCTGGGTGTTGCTTTGTGGGGTAACCCTGAACAATCCTCCTGGATCTCTGGGCCTTATTTCCTCATGTGTAAGTGGGGGTTTGGAAGAGTTCTGTTCTCCCTGGGTATGGCAGAGCCAATAGAGAATATGGCAGGGATGTGGGCCGGGGTGGTTTATTTCACCTAGCTGCCTCACTTTCAGAGGTCAAGTCTGCGTTTTATAGCCCCACTCACCTGAGCCAGGGACTCCGTGGTGCCGGGGTCCCCCAGGCTTTAGTAGATCCAACCATGCAGTGCTGTCCCTCCTAGAACCACTTTCAGGGCCACGGCCCACATTCCAAAGTACTTGGGCCCTCCCTGCCCCATCCAGCCCTGGCCTGAGACCAAGGCCTTGAGCCAACACAGGGAGGAAGGCACCTTAGTGCCCGCTGGTTATGTGGCTTTATTCACAGACTCAGCACTTGCTGAGGATGAAGGAAAGAACATTTGGGGCCAGGCTGGGCCTGGAGATCCGGGTGGCTGGGAGGCCATGCACGGGTTGGATTGGGGAGCTCACAGGAGAGAACCTGCTGGCTGGGCCAGGCCTGTGTGGGGCAGGGCCGGAGGCAGGCAGCATGCGGGAGGCCTGGCTACATCTGCATGGAGCAGATCCTCCAGGTGGTGGCTGTGAGCCAGGAGGGAGGGACTGAGGCTTCTCTGGGGCAGGGGTATGGATGTGGGGCTGGAGAGCAGACACACTTGACTCCCACTCCCAGGAAAATGATACTGTAGGACAGTCGGCACACCTGGCTCCCGGCCCTGTTGCTGCCTTGGGACTTGATGTGTGACTAGCCAAGCCGGACCCCTCCAGTGTCATTATCTTCTTGATGTTTGGACATTTGCCTTGGAGTTGACCCACCTAGGGACCCTCTGGGGACATACGTCGGGGGTCTGGACAATCCTGGAGAGTATGCCTAGGGCCCAGGTGGCCGGGCTCTGCCTATGAAGTGAGGGGATCCCCAGGTCGGGTTCCCCAGCTCCCTGTAGTCAGGCTTTTCTCCCAGTGGCCGGTTCAGTTCCTGACTGTGCCCCCCACGGCGCACCATCTCACACCACAATCCGGGCGGCCGCTGGGCCAAGGAATACTTAATGTTAAGCCTTCTTTCTCCTGGCCCGCCCTGCTGGCTCCTGACTTCCTGCCTAAAGGCAAACAAGGAGTCCAAAGCCCGGATCCTCCTCCCGGGCCTTCTTCCTGGTGAAGAGCCCATTCTCACTCAGCAGGGAACAGAAAAACCAGTTCCCCAGGTTTCCCTCCCTGCCTGGGAATAGCGAAGTCTGGAAAGTTGGCAGGGTCTCTCTGGGCTGCCCAGGAAGGTGACCCAGGGGCCTGGGAAGCCAGGTGAGGCCTGAGCAGGGCCCTGGGGCTGAGGATGCAGCCCCTGCCCACTTCCCACCGGCCTCTCCTGGGGACTGGGGTAGAGGGATGCAGGAGAGGGGACCATCAGCATTGGCGGGACGGGGTGCGGTGCACGGAGCCAGGGCGCTTGGGGATCTTGCGCCAGCGTCTCTTGTCCCAGCGGCAAAGCAGCAGCAGGCGAAAGGTGTCCCGGAAGGCTTTGTTGCAGAGCGCATAGCACATGGGGTTGATGGTGCTGTTGACGTAGCACAGCCAGTAGCCCAGCTCCCACAGGGTCTCGGGAACACAGTCCTTGCAGAAGGTGGACACCAGCACCATGATGTTGTACGGTGTCCAGGTGAGGATGAAGGCCAGGAGGATGGCACTCAGGGTCCGAGCCGCCTTCTTCTCCTTGACCAGTGAGAAGGTCTTCCGCTTGGCCAGCTGCTCCTTCCCACGGGGCTTCTGGCCCTTGCCAGCTCGATCACGCCCTTTCTTAGTCGGCCTCTTCACTGTATTTGGGGAGCTCCGGGGGGGCTGCTTGGTGGGAGCCTGTGCCTCGGGGTCCACCATTGGCATCTTGATCACCACTTCGGAGCCAGGCTCCTCTCCCTCAGAGGATGTGAGGGACTCCATGGAGCCTTCATCCTCTTCCTCGTCTTCCTTCCAGCTGTAGGCCTGCAGCAGCCTGGGGGCCCGGCAGCAGCGACAGCAACGGCCTGGAGGAGTCTCTGGTGAACCCTCAGCCCCTGGCTGAGACCTCTCTGAGCTGCTGCTGCTGCCACCCCCTTTGCCTGGCGTCTCGGAGCCCTGAAGGGCTGCCAGCTCCCGTGCTCGGTTCTCTGTCTCCCGGTAGATGCGCCAGTAGAGCGTGCACATGACTGTGACAGGGAGGTAGAAGGCAGCCATGGCTGTGCCAAAGGTGATGATGGGCTGGGAGAGGAACTGGATGTAGCACTGCCCAGCCAGCACTGTCCGCTCCCCTACCAGGTACTGCCAGAAGAGGATGGCTGGGGCCCAGAGGACAAAGGAAACCAGCCAGGCCAGGCCGATCATCAGGGCTGCCCGGCGGGGTGTGCGCTTGGCGCGGTAGCTCAGGGGCCGAGTCACGGAGAAGTAGCGGTCAAAACTGATGAGCAGCAGATTCATGACGGAAGCATTGCTGGCCACATAGTCCAGGGCCAGCCAGAGGTCGCAAGCCAGTGTGCCCAGAGCCCAGTGGCCCATGAGCAGGTACGTGGTATAGAGGTTCATGGAGAAGGTACCGATGATGAGGTCAGCACAGGCCAGGCTCAGCAGGAAGTAGTTATTGACTGTCTTGAGCTCCGTGTTGACCTTGAAGGAGATGAGTACCAGCAGGTTGCCTGTCACTGTGGCTAGCGACAGGAGGCCCGTGGTGATCCCGATGAAGGCCACTTGCCAGGGACCCTTTCCTGGTGCCAGGACGGTGATGTTGGGGCTGACAGCAGGTGGGGCTGAGGTGTTCATGGTGGCTAGGCGGGGCTGGGGTTGGAGAGCCCCTTCTTCCGGGCACGCTACAGGGCTTCCTCAGAGGAAAGTCATCACCTGAAAAGAGAGGACGTGGGCTTTGGTTGGGCCACTGGACATTTCTGATAGCCCTTATTGGAAGATGCTGGGGATGTAATTCCTGCCCTTGCAGAGCTTCAGAGCAGATAGCATCGCCCTCCCTTACTGATGCCCACTCATGGTCATTTATCATGCACTTTCCCAGCCATAAGTGGATTTGCCAGCAGTGTGGAGTAGCTTTGGGATCCAGGGATTTGAATCTTCATTCCAGTTTTACCATTCAGACTCTGGGCCTCAATTTTCTCACTGGGAAATTACCGCAAATTCCTGTCTTACATAACTCGGGTGGCAGGAGTTGGGAAACTCACTTTGTGTACAGTTCTGCCAAATTCTCAAAGCATTTCACTCAACTTTATTAAAGCCCTCACTTACTGAGTAGTCACTGCATGCCAGACACAGTGCTAGCCACCTAAACGAATTATCTAATTTAACTATTGTACATCTCTAGGAGAAAGGGCTCTTATTACGCCCATCTCGCTGTGAGGCAACTGTGGCTCTGAGCAGCTGCAAGGCTTGGCCGTGGTGACAGAGATAGTATGATAGAACCCACAAGAACAGAAATGTGTCCTAAAAGAGGAAAAAAAGAAAAGAACCCATTCTCACCCTCCCTGAGTATGTGGTGCTCTAGTGGGATTCTTCTACTAATAAGGAGAGATGGGAAGAAAAGGGAGCTCCTGAGAAGATAAACAGAGATGGGAACAGAGGGGCCTTAGGGGTGTGTGCGTGTGTATATTTTTTTCTGCACGTTTTTCTGTGCATGTGGGTTTACATATGTATGTAGTGGGTGGTTTTGGGGGCTGAATTGAATTCTCTATGAGGGCAGCAGGGAAAATTGTGCGGGACTCAGACACTCACTTGGCAGTAAGAAGGTCTGGGGCAGGCTGGCATGGTGGCTCACGCCTGTAATCCCAGCACTTTGGGAGGCCAAGGCAGCCAGATCATGAGGTCAGGAGATCGAGACCATCCTGGCTCACATGGTGAAACCCCATCTCTACTAAAAATGCAAAAATTTAGCTGGGCACGGTGGCGGGTGTCTGTAGTCCCAGCTACTCAGGAGGCTGAGGCAGGAGAATCGCTTGAACCCAGGAGGCGGAGGTTGCAGTGAGTCGAGATTGCGCCACTGCACTCCAGCCTGGGCAACAGAACGAGACTCCGTCTCAGAAAAAAAAAAAAAAACAAAAAAAACCCCACCACCAACAACAATAAAAGAAGGTCTGGGGCAGAAGCAGGAAGCAGGAATGAGGGCCTCAGCTCCTAGCTCAGGGGGGTCTGGTCCCATATGGGTTGTGGGAGGCTTCCCTCCCTCTCCTGGCTCTGTTCCTGGGCCCCAGCTAAGTGGGGAGAAGCAAGGGGAATGGGAAGATCCCCCAGACTTTTCTTGGATCTGGAATCTGGTCCAGGTACTAAGGCTGGGTAAAGAGAAGGGCCACGGCCCTTAACAACCTGCTGGCTGGGCAGGAGGCCCCCACAGCCACAGTGAAGCCAGATGGAAGGGTGAGGGTCCAGGCAGCTCAGCCAGGGGCTTTGCGGCCGTGTGATTTGATGGGTCCCTTCCTGTTCTGCCTCAGGTGTCCATCTGTCCATTGAAGAGATTGATGGTCCCCTGACCCTCAGCTGTGACTTTCAGGGGCTATACTGTTGGGAAAATTCCAAGGGAGAGATGTTGGGCAAGGGTCCACTGAGCCTCAGTGTTCCTTGGGCACCTGGCTTGTGACAGGCTGCTGTGATAGGTGACCTGGGTGGTTTGTGGCTGAGGCCATCTCCATGGCTTGCCGTGAACCCTCAGTGTGCGCAAGTCACTTTCAGCGTGGCGAGTTCAGTGGGGGACAGAATGAGCAAGGACTGTGGCTGGCAGTGTGTGCTTGTGTGTCTGGGACAGTTTGCACATGAGGGGGCATGTGCAACCTGGACTCCGGAGCCAGACTGTCTGGATTTGAATCCAGTCTATCTTGTTCACTGGATGTGTGATTATTGCTAGTGATATAACTTCCATATGCCTAGGTTTCCTCAGTTGAAAAATGGGATTAATACCCATTAGCAAGACCATTGCCTCTTTTCAGGTGATAAGGATTAAATGAATCAATGCATGTAAAGTGCTTAGAATGGCCCTGGCACATGGCACACAGTAGGTCTCCTTTAATTCTCAGGATATGTAGTGGTGAGGGTGCTAGGCTGCCTAGAAAGATCTACTTCTTGACCGGGCATGGTGGCTCACGCCTGTAATCCCGGCACTTTGGGAGGCTGAGGCGGGTGGATCACCTGAGGTCGGGAGTTCGATACCAGCCTGGCCAACACAGTGAAACTCTGTCCCTACTAAAAATACAAAATTAGCCAGGCGTGGTGGTACATGGCTGTAATCCCAGCTACTCTGGAAACTCAGGCAGGAGAATCGCTTGAACCTAGGACGCGGAGGTTGTGGTGAGCCAAGATTGTGCCGTTGCACTCCAGCCTGGGCAACAAGAGTGAAACTCCGTCTCAAAAAAAAAAAAAAAAAAAAGAAATGTCTGATACTATGACAACAGCAACTAGTAATAATAACGCTCATTGTTGTTATTGAGTGCCCCTTGAGTGCCAGTTGCTGCTAAACGGTTTATATGCATAATCTCATTTAATCTTTTTTTTTTCTCTCTCTCTCTCTTTTTTTTTTTTTCTTTTTTTTGAGATGGAGTCTCACTCTGTCACACAGGCTGGAGTGCAGTGGTGCGATCTCGGCTCACTTCAGCTATTGTCTCCATTTTATAGATAAGGAAGCTGAGGCTGAGAAAAGCAAGAGAATTTGTATGAGATCATGCAAGGAAGGTAGGAACTAGGATTTGAGCCCAAGCAGTTTGTTCCAATGAAACTTCATTTACAAGAACTGAAGGCCAGCCTGGGGATCATAGTTTGCTAATTTGAATTCTAAAAATATTACATTAAAATATGATTTGTCTTGATTACTGAGTTTTGCCGTACCCTTTCCCTTAAACAAAGTCAGCCATTGGGCTGGAGGCTGGGATTAGGCTGGCGCTCTCCCCAGTGAGGCCACTGGTAAACACTACCCTTGAGAATTTGAGAATTTGTGCAATTCTTGTCACTGTCATCTTCTGAGCTCAGTGCTACTTAATGCCCATTGCTCACAGGGAGCAGCTGAGGCCCAGAGAAAAGGGAGTAGAAGGCATTGTCTAGTCCAAGGTCTCCTGGCTCCTAGATTGGGTACTGCCCCCCATGCCATACCCTCCTGGTAGTTTGGATCAGCTCTGTAGCTCTGGGCCCTGGACAAAGACCTGCAAAGGCTGAGTTAGACAAGAGGAAGTCGCCAGCCTGAGAGGCTGCACCCTGCCCTGCTGCAGGGGCCTCTCATCTGCCTGGGCATGGTGCAGCCTTTAAAGCTTGACTCCTTAGGCCTGGCGTGGTGGCTCATGCCTGTAATCCTAGCACTTTGGGAGGTTGAGGCAGACGGATCACATAAGCTCAGGAGTTCGAGACCAGCCTCAGCAACTTGGTGAAACCCTGTCTCTACTAAAAATATAAAAATCAGCCAGGCACGATGGCAGGTACCTGTGGTCCCAGCTACTTGGGAGGCTGAGGCAGGAGGATCACTTGAGCCCAGGAGGCAGAGGTTGCAGTAAGCCGCGATCATGCCACTGCACTCCAGCCTGGGTGCCAGAGTGAGACCCCGTCTCAAAAAAAAAAAGCCTGACTCCTTATACCTCAGCAGGCTAGGACTAGGACTAGGGTAAGGTGAAAATCAGGCACTTGCCTCCAATGCAGAATGTAAGGGGTGCCCCAAAACTTAGTAATCAAGAAAATATTTTAATGTAATGTTTACAAAAATGGAAGTTTAATGCAAAAAAAATCCAAGATGAACAACATGTTAAATAAAGACAGGGTCTACCCTGTACTTGCATACCCTTTCTCACTCACCTCACCCTAATTCTGACCTTGGTTCCAATAAAACTTTATTTACAAAAACAGTCAGCCAGCCTGTGGGCTGGAATTTGTTATTTGATTTAAAAAAATATTATTATGATATTATTTCTCTTGATTAGTGAGTATTTTTATGTCTCCTTCTTACATTTTGCTCCGAGGCTAGTGCCTTGCTTGATTCACCCTAGTGCTGGCCTTGTAGTTCCCAGTCTTGGGTTTGAAGCTCGGCGCTGAGCCTTCCTTGCTGTGTGACCATCAGCAACCAGTCAATCTTTCATTCCTCTGCTGCCCTCATCCCCAGCTGTGAGGATGATACCGTTCAGAGTGCCTGGCACTGAAACAGACACTCAGTTAAAAAGTTAAAGCCTTATTGTTATTCTTTTTTTTTTTTTTTTTTGAGATGAACTCTTACTCCATCACCCAGGCTGGAGTGCAGTGATATGATTTCAGCTCACTGCAACCTCTGCCTTCTGGATTCAAGCAGTCCTCCTGTCTCAGCCTCCCGAGTAGCTGGGATCATAGGCTCCTGCCACCACACTCAGCTAATTTTTGTATTTTTAGGAGAGGCAGGATTTCACCATGTTGTCCAGGTTGGTCTCAAACTCCTGATGTCAAGTGATCCGCCCGCCTCAGCCTCCCAAAGTGCTGGGATTATAGGCATGAGCCACTGTGCCCAGGCCTGTTGTTATCCTCCACTCCTTCTCCTGATCCAGTGCCCAGCTTCTTCCCACCATGCCCCTTCCCCTCCAGATCCCAGGCACGCCTCTGCTCTGGTTCCCAGTTTGCTCATTTGTAATGGAGGAGTTGGACAAGCCTGGTGTCTGGGGAGATTTTACAGAGTACAGAAACCAACATCTCAAGGTGCCGAACAGAAAGAACCCAGGTCCCTGAGGCAAGGCTGAAGGCTCACTTACATTATCTCACTTGGGGCTGGAAATGACATCAACTCAGGGTGGGAACACGGTGCTCATCGCAAGGCTAGCTATAACTTTGGTGAATTAAAAAATGCTTTCAGAACAGGGGGCGTGTGAGAAGAAGTAACTCAAGGAGTCCCTGGAGGTGAGGACCTCTCTTAGAGGGGTCCTTGGAGGTGAAGAAGCCGGCAGTCCCTTGCCTTGATGTCTGGAAATCCCTTCCAAATCTTCCATTTTAATAGTCATATTGCTAACCACCATAATTAATGCCTCCTGGATGGCAGGTACTTAATATATATTCTTTCCCTTAACCACAGGACACCTCAGTGACATCCCATGGGGTGCTCTATCTTTATATTATGGATAAGGGCATTGAGGCTCAGGGTGCAAAGTAGATTTCTGCTGGTCCCACAGAAGTGGTGGAGGTGGGATTCTGACCCACACCTGTGGGCTCCAACCCTGTGTCCTTTCCGCCTCGGCAAAACCCCTCTGCCCCACCTATGCCGGATGAGGGCTAAGGCCTCTCTCCTGGGACAGGTGGCAGGAAGAGAAGTCACCAGAGGTTTCAGAGAATTGGAACCTGATTCTTGCCACCATCTAGATCTTCTGCCCCCTGTGATGCAGCCCAGGAACAGACCCATCAATGAATGACTGCCTTTCCTCTGTAGCAGAAGCAGAGGTCCTCACCCCCAGCCCTCTCTTGGACAGAGAAAGAGCTCAGGAGAAGGTTCCTGGAGATGTGCTCTAGTCCCTTCTGTGTGACCTTGTCCAAGTCTCCTTGACTGTCGATGTGGGGCGGTCTTCTACCTGTCCAAGGCTCCTGTGGGATCAGTGAGACGGTGACTGTGAAAGAACCTGGTTTCCCATGATTGTGGCAGATTCCCCTGGGGAGACCAGCCCTAGGCTGAGGGTTAGGGTGCGGGGTTCAGTGGTAGCTCTAGAATCTCTAAAAAGGAGGGACTCAGGTCAGCCAGCTGGTTGAAAAGGGGGCTTGAAGCTGCATTTGCAGGTCACGTCCTGTAAGGCATCCATGGGGGCTGGGGCTCATGTATGCAGTGAGTTTGTCAATGGGGATTGCAGTGGGCAGCAGGAAGACCCCTGAGGCAGTCCTTGGCACTGCCTCTGCCTAGCTGCAAGCTCTTGTCTTGCTACGTGACCTTGGGTAAAAGACCGTCCTGACCTGGTGGCCGTTCGGTGGGATGGGGTGAACTCCTAGGATGAGTGTTTGTGTGTGAGGGTATATGCATGGGTGAGCAGGCTGGGAATGGTGGAGGTGGGCCCATAGCTTTGTGTGATGGGTAGGGACTCATCCTCAGAGGTGTTTTGCCTGGAGTTCAGGAAGACAGTGAGAAAGCAGGGAGGAGCTTCTCTCTAGGACTGTGGTCTCCTGATGAAAGCTGTTAGAAGCCTTTAATAATATTACTAATACTCCTTACAGATAAATAGCAGCAAAGAAAAATTACTAATATTATAGTAACTGGTATTTACTGGCTGCATACTATATGCCAGACATGGCTTTAAGCATTATATACATAACCATTATAAACTCGATCTACTCTACCTGTTACAACTCCTCGTGAAGTAGGTCCTGTTATCCCAGTTTGCAAAAGGCCTAACCTGAGGCATTATGACCTGAAGGACCTTACAGCTCATCAGCGATGCAACCAGGATTTGGATCCAGGCCGTCTGCCTCCGAGACCAACCTCTCCAACCCTACTCCTGCTCTTGAGAGGTTGGGGGTGTTCGCCAGCCTCCTTGCCCGCCTCAGCTAGCTTACTCAAGCCCTGCTTTGAATCAGTTAACGATGAGCAATTGGTCCTCCTTTCAGAATCTGGCCTCCTTGTGTGTGCGGCAGTGTCTGTCGTATATCCGTGTGATGTGTGATGACAGCGCTGTGGGAAGAGGGTGGGTCTGCTGAAGCCCTTTAAAGGGCAGGGTAGGGGATGTGTCTGTCTCATTCAGTGCTTTATCCCAGGGCTTGGCACATAGTAGTTGCTCAGTAAATACCTGTGGAATAAATGTACGCGTGTGTACTCAACTTCAGACCCTGGAGCCTGAAGGTGAGCCTGTGGGGGTCAGGACCAGGTCCAGAGCATGGTCCAGAGGTCCCTCTTCTCCCTCGAGCTCCCACATCTCATCTGCCAGGTCCTTGCACCCCTGAGTGAGGCCCTGCCTGGCTGGAGAGCATAGGAGAAAAGTAGCCAAGAGCATCCTTGTCTGTAAAATGGACCAAGGAAACTCTGCCTCACCCGGCTGCAGGGAAGCTAAGTGAGGTGACAGGACAGACATGGACGTGCCAAGGCATTTGTCACTGGGGAGAGGAAAATGTTAGCCTGGGCTCAAAGGGTTAAGGGATGAGGTCAGAGCCTTTATTACAGCAGGCCAGACTGTTGACTGCCAGCGCCCAGGACCAATCCCTAGGGGCTGGGGATCTGGCTCGTGAGACGAACTGGGAGGGGAGAGAACCACTGGGGGAGGCAGGGAAAGAGAAATGGGGAGAGGGATTCCTGAACACCAGGCTTTTCTGAACTTACCACTGGCCAAGGAGTACGGAAGGGGAGGGAGAGAATGAGGGATGCTGGGGAAGAGATTTAGGAGGGAGGAGCGGAGCCATCTTGTGATTTTGGGCCTGGAAGCTGGTAGAGTCCTGGTTAGGGAGAGGGGATAATATTGGGGAGTGGAAGGTATGTGGAGGGGGCTGTGGGGTTGGGCACCTGAGGCCTCACATATGCAATGAGGAGGGCGCTCCTTCTGGCTAGGTCTACTCACTGGTCCCTTCTGCTAGGGCCTGACCCCAGAAGCCAGCCCAGATGGGGCAGCTCTCCCCTCAGGGTTAACTTTTCTTTGACGGCAGCTCTTGACCCATTAAGGTGCACAAAACTTCCACCCCTGATGCCTGGCTTTGGGAATGAGGGAGTAAACAGATAGAATTGATCACATTTTCAAGGCTCAACAGTTGCCATTGGGAGGGCCAACCAGCCTTGTGGAGGGCAGCAGTCATCAGTTAAATGCTACATAAAACCCACCACTTAGCTGGAAGAGGAGCATGAGCCCTCGAATCACTGCCAAATTTGCTCACCCATGATGGATCTTAAGCAGTTGCCTGACTTTGGCCAGACCATGCCAGAGCGTGGGCATGAGCAGCTGGACCCTAGACCTCACTCTGCCAGTGTGGCATCAGAGATGCTGGGTCCCTCATCCTCCTCTCCGCAAGCCCCCTGCTCCTGGCTCCTTGCACTTCCCTCCTCATTTCCTTTCTTCTCTCTCCCTCCCTCCTCCATCCTTGTAGGCATCACCATGGCACCACAGCAGAGCAGAAACCCAGTGCAATTCACCCACCTCTCCCTGCCTGCTGGGAGCCCAAGCTTCTGCGTCTCAGAGCTTACTGCGCCCCCTGCTCTCCCACCCCATCTTCCTGCTCATGGAGGCGGCAGCGCAGCGTTGTGCTGAGGATGCGGAACCCAAGCCCCAACTGGATCCCTACATATCTCTTCTCCGACCATGAGCATGTCCCTTTCCCTTTCTCAGCCTCAGTATCTCCATACAATGAAAGCCTCCTTTCTAGGTCTGATATGACCTCTAACCTCTGGTTAGCCCCTTCTTGACACTTTGGACTCCCCATTACACTTCAGAATCCAGTTCTCAGAACTCCAGCCGCCAGCTGTCAGCTGCGAGCCAAGACTCACATCTTCTGCAGCCCATTTCACTACCTCCTTCCTTTTCATATCTCAGCAGTGATAGTGACTTCAGCTTGCCAGGTGGCTGAGGTCAGAGGGCAGAGAACTCTCATCTGACAGCCCAGTGAACAGCTGATTACCCCAAGAAAGGAGACGTCTGGCCACCGGAGACTGCCCGACTCCTTCTAGCCAGTTGGGCAGAGGTCCTGGGTCAGTCTGGGTGGAGCTGCAGGTGTGTTTTGTGCAAAGAGGTGAACCCGTCTCCACTGGCTCTGTAACCTCTAAGCTGCACATGTCTGGATGACCTAGTGAGAGCTGATGACCCCCTCTCCAGCTGGCCTGCCCAGGAGCTGACAGCTGTACAAGAATCAGAGTTCATGGCCCCTAGCCCATCCCTACATTGTGCAGTCTGCGGGCACTGGGGTGAGTACCTGGCATGGGTGCCCATTGGTATCCATGCATTGACTGGATATAGGACTGAGATCCACCCTGCGGGAACCCAAGATACTAGAAATATAAGGAGGGTCCTCTGGGCCCCTGCGCACGTCAGGGCCACGTTCCCTGGCCAGTGTGACCATTCGTGTGCCCATTTGTCCCCAAAGAGCCCTGGGGCTCTTTGCCTGGTCTGCTGGCTTCTGGCCCGACACCCACCTTGGCTTCCAGCTTCTCTGTCTGGCCAGCAGACTGATTCAGTCCATCTCGGGGGAGCTGAGGTGGACGGGGGTGGTGGGTTTCAGGGTGTCCTGAGGGAGGAGAGGAGGAGGTTCTGGGACTGGCACCCCCATCAAGATGGGGGTCAACCTCCCACAGGATGCTGATGGCAAGGGCTGCTTCCTGGCCCCTTGCCCTTCCCACTCTGCCCCTAGGGTGCTGGGGGCTCTGCCTCTACCAGGCAGCCTAATCCATTCTGGGCCTCAGGTCCAGTTTCCTGAGGAGGGTCTCCATCTCCTCTGCCAGCTGAAGCCCAGAAAAACATCAGATATATCCACTCAAAGCCAGGAGGCCGAGTGTTTGGAGCAGCCAGTGTTCAATGCTACAGAGCCCCCTTGCCCTCTAGACCCCTGCCTGGCCTCCTCCTATCTCTGGGAGTCCATCCCTATTTCCATCTCATTCTGGTCCCTGCCCTCCCCCGCTCCCCAGTACCCTCCTACCCTCTACCTCAGAGCAGCCCCTCCCAAGCCCTCTCAAATGTACTCACCATGGGGCTGAAGAGGGGTCTGTAGGGTCCTCAGCCCCACTGCCTCCCTGGGGGCCGGCGGCGTCTCCAGGGACCCAAACACCTGGCTCCCGGGGGGAGCTGCGCCCTGTGCTGGCAGCGGGAGAGGCACAGCCAGTGATTGGCATGTCCCACCCCCTGGCACGCCAGCCTTAGGGGGGAGGGAGAAAGGGAAAGAGAGGGAGGGAGGAAAGGGAGAAAACGAAGGGAGGGGAGCTGGAGGGAAGCCTCAGGCAGCGTCTGGGGTTGGACTAGGTTCTGGAGTGTGCCCCCCTCCTTCACCAGGGCACCCAATTTGAGACCCAAGAGGGAGGAGGAAGGACATGAGGAAGGCGAGCCCAGGAAGGCTAAAAGTCCAGGACGGGAGAGAAGGCGGATACAGGGAGACAAACACCCACACCCACTGCACAGACCCAGCGGCACACACACCCTCACAAAGGCACACTGTTTCCTTGGACTCCTTCCCCCACCCAACCTTAGAGCCCCCAACCCATGTGCACCATGCCCTAACACACTTGCCCCGGTATTCACATGCCTGCTTCCCTCACACACACGCCCTCCCCCCTGCACATGCCCACGCGCCCACCCACCCAACTACACACCCTGCTCTTCCTCCCTGCTGCGAGAGAGCTAGATTCCTTCTGTTTGGAAATGACACATTGGGCCTCACGTGAGAGGCTCCAACTTGGAACAGACCCAGAGGGCTGGCGCACCCGCCCGGGGGGCTGAGCGAACGTGCCCGCGTGCTGGGCTGTGTGCACTAGCATTGGGCTATGCATAGCCCGTTGTGAGGTTATATGGGTGTCTGCTTTTCGGGGATGAGTAGAGGGCCAGGTGCCTGCCCCATGTGTGGCTGAGTGCCCTGCATGTATGTGTCCCTGTGTCCTCATGTCATCATGTAGCCTGTGTAAATGCAGGTGTGACCCTGTCAGTCTGGAGGCAGGATGCATGTGCACACGTGTGTCTGTATCTGATGTGTGGCTGAGTGTTGCCCAACTGTGGAACTTGCTAATTCTGACAAGTGAGGCAGCCTCTACCTGCCTGCTCCACCCCAAGCTTCCACTTGGAAGACAGACAGGCAGACAGACAGCTCTCCTCCCAGCTTGTCAAACTCTGTCTCCCCTGACTCCCACTCAGGGCTCACAGGTGTGTACCTGGGAGGAGATGAGTCCTCCTCCCCATCTCCCTCAGCCCTACTGGTGAGGCCAGCATCCCTCCCTGCCAGGCTGGTTTGGACTTCTGTGTTGAGCTTCCTCAGAGATAGAACCCCTGGGGGCCATTTGCCATAGAGATGTGGGTCCTGCACCGCCTCCATTTGGCCCTAGAGACTTCCCAGGGAGCTTACTGGGGAGGAGAGTTGGAGGCTGCAGGGACTGCCTGCTGGGGCTGCTGTGTTCTTTGCCCCACTGGGCTGTGTCAAAGTCCTGGCTTGAGAGGCAGGAAGGAATGGGGGCATCAGTTATCCCCATTTTGTAGGTGAGAAATCTGAAAAGCAGAGGTATGATTAGCATGTGGTGGGCAGGTGTTTGGACTCGGGTCCCTTGGCTCTAAGCGCAGGGCTCTGGAGTCTGGGGCAGGGGTTTCCCCTACTCATTCCCACACGGAGCGCCCCCCTCCCCCCAACAACCCCGCCAATGCTGGTGCCTGAGGGTAACCTGGGTCTTTCTCACCCAGGAGCCCAGTTGGCCAATGGAGCCAAGTGGAGCCGAAACTGGAGTTCCTGGGATTTGGTCAGCTGCTACTGGTGGGCACACATGACAGGTACATGTGGGGGCATCTGTGCTTCTCAAAGCCAGCTGGGGTTCCAGCAGGCACCCAGTCCTCCTCCCTGCTGAAGTCAAGCAGACGCTGCAGCTTGGACAGAAATCTAAGTGAGCATCCCCCTTCATCCCAGGGTCACCCAGCTGGTCAGGGTTGGGTCAGAACTTGACCAGTCCCTACCCTTGGGCGTGGACTCGGGATGCCCCCTGCTGGGCTGCCCTGGATTTGCGGCTGCGGCTTGGGCTGCGCGGTGGGGCTGCGTGTACTTGTGCGCGTACACGTGGCTGAGTGTGGGGGTGTTAGGCCTCCACACACAACATCCATTTCCGAATCTGAATCAGGCACCCTCTTTGCCACCTCCCCCCAATCTCCTTGGTCTCCCTTTTCTCTTCTCCCACCGCCTCTGCACACGTCCCTTTAGAAATAAAAACACTTATTTTGTGGGCGGGCGGGGAGGGTGTCCAGCTTTCCCCTGCCTCCTCCTGAGTGCCCCCCTCTGTCCCACGCGGCTTCCTTCTGAAGTCTGTGCAGTCGCGGATGCAAGGGGATGACGCCCCCCCCACCACCCCCACCACTGTATCACTCTTCTGACTTCCCCGCGCAGACTTGGCTAGGTCACCCTTATCAAATGGGGAAACTGAGGCAGGAGGAGAGAAGAGAGGTAGGACCCGGAGAAGCGCTCCCGCCCGGCTCGCTCACCACCCCCGCACTCGCGCCCGATTTAGCCGCAGGGAGGCTGGGAACATTGTCTTTATTTTAAGCCGCCGAGTGCGGCACGAACGCGGCTGCTAGCGACAAAGGGCTTCTTGAAGCGGCTGCAGGCGGCGCACGTGGGGCTTTGGCCCCGCCCCCGCGCGACCCCCTCCAGTTCTCCCCCATCTCTGGCTGGGTGGGGTGGGGGCTGACTCTCGGGTCTCGGCTCCTGCTGGTTGTTATTTTTGGTCGCCTGGTAGAGAATTCACTCCTCTGTGCCACGGAGGGAACGTGGAGTCGCCCTTGCGCGGCTCGGCCCCAGTCTCGGCCCCCTTACTGTGCAGGAGGCGAGTGCCCTGGGTGCGGATTCAGCTTGGCCTTTTTCTAGTTGAAGCGGCCTGAGCAAGCTAGGCCCCTCTCTAGGTCTCAGTTTCTTTTTTTTTTTTTTCTCAGTTTCTTCATCAATGACAAGAAGGGTAGAAATACCTCCCCGACCAGGTTGTTTGACGGGTTAGTTGAGCTTCTGCAGGTAAAACGTGGCACGTGCGTCTGCAGAGAGTGAAAGCCATCATTGTGGTTTTTTTTTTTTTTGATACACGGTTTGGGTCTCTTGCCCAAGCTGGAGTGCAGTGGTGCGATCAGAGCTCACTGTAATTGCTTCCCGGGCTCAAGCGATCCTCCCACCGCAGCCCTATCCCCTCACCCACTCCGAGTAGCTGGGACTACAGGCGCGCGCCACCCCACCGGCATTATTATTTTTTAAATTTTTTGTTGACGGGGTTTCACCATGTTGGCCAGGCTGGTCTTGAACTCCTGAGCTTAAGTGATCCTCCCGCCTCCGCCCAGCTCGGCCTCCCAAAGTGCTCGGATTACTGAGCCACCGCGCCCGGCTGTTCTTATTTATAATACTTATTGAGCATTTACTATGTGTCAGGAACTGCTAAGTACTCTGCATTTTTTTATGAGACAGGGTCTCTGTCACCCAGACTGGGGTGCAGTGGCGTGATCTAGGCTTTCCAGCAACCTCCGCCTCCCAGGCTCAAGCGATTCTCCCGAGTAGCTGGGACTACAGGCGAGCGCCACTACCGCCCAGCTAATTTTTGTATTCTTAGTAGAGACAGGGTTTCACTATATTGGCCAGGCTGATCTCGAACTCCTGACCTCAAATGATCCACCCACCTTGGCCTCCCAAAGTGCTGGGTTTACAGGCGTGAGCCACCGCATCCGGCCGGCCTCTATCTTTTTTTTTTTTTTTTGAGACGGCGTCTCGCTCTGTCGCCCAGCCTGGGGTGCAGTGGCGCGATCTCGGCTCACTGCAAGCTCCGCCTCCTGGGTTCAAGCGATTCTCCCGCCTCAGCCTTCCGAGTAGCTGGGACCACAGGCGCATGCCACCACTCCCGGCTAATTTTCTGTATTTTTAGTAGAGACGGGGTTTCACCTTGTTAGCCAGGATACTCTTGATATGCTGACCTCGTGATCCACCCGCCTCGGCCTCCTAAAGTGCTGGGATTACAGGCGTGAGCCACAGCGCCCGGCCTATATTCTTTAACTTACTTTCACAACTCTATGAGGGAGGTTCCATTATTCCCATTTTACAGATGAGTAGATTTGCAAGCGGCTTGGGTCCCTGTGGTTTCATGGAGGTTGCGGTCAGTGCGCCTGGAGCCATCCTGGGGCTTAGTACCGGTTGCAGTTCCGGGGACGGCAGGGACTGTGGGACAGCATTTTTAAGATTCCCAGGGTCCGAAAAGGCTGCAGGTGGGTGGAGGAAGGAAGTGAGCAGGCTGCGGGAGTGCGCTGCAGACCTGGAGTGTAAGTCTTCGCCCTCGGTTTTAATCGGTGTCAGAAACTCAAACCCAGCTAAAAGTGCTACTTTTACCGTGCTGCTTCCTCTGTCCTCGAGCATGCATTCTGAGTCCGGGTGGGAGGCAGCGGGTCGACCTGAGGGCGCCCCCTCCTCGCGCCTTCACCTTCAACGGCTTTAGGCCCTCAACTTCCTCTCTCCCCCGCACCCCTTCCCGCCAGGACTCGAGGAGACACTAATTCCCAGATGAAAAACAAGAAACTGAAATCCAGGGCGGGGCTGCGGATAGAGCAGGCCCAGCAAGGGGCCACCAGAGTCCCCGCCGTCCGAGGTGAGAACGGATGCGGCCACAACAAAGGCATCTTATTGGGACAGGAAATCGGGATTTCCCGAGTCCTCTTTCGAAGTTGAGGCCTTGTAGACTCTCACCTTTCCTACCCGGCTACGTGGCTGGGCGCCGGAGGGCAGGGGGAGTGCGGAGAAGCAGCTCCACTCTACCGCCCCAAGTCTTGCCGGCAGTTCCCGAAGAAAAGGTTGGTTTGGGGCGGTCGCGAAAGCGGCGCCTTGCGTGTTTTCCTGTCCTTCCCGGGTCCTTATGGCCCGGCCGGAGACTCCGCTGAGTTGACTGGGCGCCCAGGGTCCTGCCAGGGATAGTGAATGCTGGGACCTGAGATAATGCAACGTGGCGTTTCGGACTTCCCGCTGGACCTGGCCGTGGAGAGGAACTGCGTTCCCACAGGGCATCCCTAAGCGTCCTCTGTCCCCACCTATGAGGACACGACCTGGAAGTCCAGGCCACTGGCTGCCGCCTTGGAGTTGGACGTGCCGTGGATTTGCGGCCCCGACGGAGGAAGCAGGCACCTTCCCCCGCACTATGGAAGCTCGCGCCACTCGCTGCTCGAAACACCTGATTCACGGCGTCGACCCTGCTTCGCTGGGTCTGCGGACATTGGGCTCCCCAGCTTTCCGCCACAGGGTGTACGCGCCCGGGCCCAGGCGAGTGTAGGTCCCACGTGAAACTGCTGGAGCTCCGAGGAGCTTCGAACGGGAATTTGGGATCAGAGCAGGTCCAGGTCTCAAGACAACCCCTAACTCTGTACAGTGGAATCCGCTCGTCCAGGGTCGTGACCCGGGTGAGGCAGAGCAGATTTCAGGATCCCCTGCTCCCAGCCCGGCGAAGTTTCACCCTTCCTTCCCTTGCCCCCTCCCTCCCCCAGTTCCCTGGACACCGGGTCCTCGAGTCTCCCCCTCCTCCCCCACGAGGCGAAGGCCAAAGCTTGAAGCCCACGATGACGAAGGATGGGTGGGAAGGCGCCGGGCGAGTGGAGCCTCAGCCCGGTTCCTTTCCTGAGACCCTCGCAGAAGTACATCCGAGGCAC